CATGCGTTCGTTGTCACTGTTAAATTGTTGTAATAACAATGGAATAATAAAATAATTTACTCAAATGTACATAATAATACATATACATATCCATAAAAACAATATTAAACGCAATAACTTTTTTGTACGCGAAGAAAAACTAATATAGGTTCGTCGGGATTATAGCCCAAGACTCCTTTCTAATACGTCTACTTTATAGCGAACGGACGGAAGAGAATCCGTTCACGACCATGGTCCCTTCTTAGATTTAACGTAGTTCACAAATTCACCGTTCTCATAACGTAGAGGGCAGCAGAAAATCCCTGACTTTTTACACTATCGGTATTTCAGAACATGAGACACGAAGTCCCATAAGATGATAGGCTATCCTATACCTAGTCGGTGTCTCCACTCCGTCGGTCGGAGTGAAGTTGGCAGCGAACCCCTACAGCGCGACGACTCAGATGACGTGCAAAATCACTAACGCTGATTTATCTCAGTGATCGTCGAATCACGATCACGGTCGTGATTTAACTTCATTTACGACCGTGATTGCGATTTTTTTATCTTGAGTGAATTTGCTTACTGCGATCGTAATTCTTTAATCTTTAAACAGAAAAACGTATTCAATATGATTTTACGATGAATTACATTACTATTTGTCTGTAAAAATCAGTAGAAAAAACAAGAAATTCTAAAAGAATGATTTGCTAGGTAACATGTAGATTATAATTTATAATCATTAATTTATTCATTTTTCTTCATTGTTTCTAATTATTCCTTCACTTTATACGATATACCTCAAATGTTTATTTTGATGTCGTTAATATTAAATATACAGATTATGTGTCGCGTGAAAAGAACTGTTATGTTTCTCTACCAATCAGAAACGATCACGAGAAATCACGAATTACTGTGAAAAATCACCGTGATTGGGAACGAACGTGATCGAATCGCGAGTGATTCACAAGTAGCAGTTCACGCCATCTCTAGCGAGGACAGAGCCGCGCGAGCCGGTAATCGCCGAATTCGGTCAACGATTACCGAAGACGCTGCTTACGTGCAAGTCGCGTTTCGTGGACAATTGGCGGTGCTGAAATCACGAGTCACGACGGCCTCTCGTGAAATCCTGAACATAGTCGCTTTCGAAATATTTAACTGTTTTGTATGACCATATTATAGGAAATAATTAGTTTTAAAAGTTGAACTTCCAAGAAGTTTAATGCGCATGCTCAGTAATAGCTGCAGCTGCAGTTCGTTCAGCGGTCAGGTATCGGATAAGTATGTATGTGTGTATGAGTATGTACAAATGGTTATCTTCGTGTAAAACTTGACAGGCGCTATTTTTTCTTTTGCAGTTTTAATTGCCTACGTCACTGTATAATTGAATATAAAATTATTTTACAGTAAGTAAACTATTTAATATTGTATAAATAATAAATAAATTATTTAGTTATGTAAATAATAAGAATTTATTTACAATTTTAGTAAAATTTGTTCAGTCTTGATTATCACAGATACTAGCTTAGTAGAATGCATTTTTCTACCTTAAAAGTATTACAAAAATTCATTAACAGTCACTATACTTCGTTACGGTTTATTATTATTTAAATAGGAGCTTTAAGGTAGTGTAAACAATGTATTTGAGGTTATGTCATTATACCATAAATTTGTAAGAAATATTCATTTTGTTTTTGTTGAGTTTTTAAACATTTTTACTCTTTTAGCACATTGTTATGGTTCTGACATTTAATTTTCTAATTAAGCTTAACATCTAGACAGATGCCAAGTGTTAAAGATGAATCAGAGGCTGAAGGAGAAGAAATGTCACATGACAGCAATGACAGTAATCAGAGTTCTGCGTCATGTGACAGTAGTGCAGAACATAGCGACAGCGATGACTCTTCAGAGATGGATGAAGATGAATGTGAAAGACGACGCAATGAATGTATGGAAAACTTAGTAGATTTAGAGAGACAGTTTACTCTCCTTAAAGAACAGTAGGTTATCTCTTTATCTGAGAAATTTTAATTTAAAAATGTAGATACTAAAAAAACATATTTTGTTTCTATAAATATAATACTAATTTCCAAATAAAATTATAGGCTCTATCGTGAGAGAATTACTCAAGTAGATACAAAATTAGGAGAGGTTCGTGTTGGAAAATCTGAAGAATACCTAATACCTCTTGAACGATTAAAAGAAAATATGAAAACAAAAACAGAAGTGGCTGGAATATTAAAGCAATACAGATTACAAAACATACAAAATAAATTCCTAGCAGAGGAACAGGCTGCATTACAAAATTTTCAAAGTGAAAAAGAATTAATATGGGACTATATCCACAATGATTTACAAGAAAAGATACGAAGATTAGAAGAAGACAGAAACAATGTGGATATTCATGCGGACTTATGGCTAAATTCAACTGGTAGAAGACGTAGGAATCACACTGAAAGAAGGAGAGCTGTTTCCGTTGCTGGGCCTTATATTGTTTACATGCTTAACGATGCAGATATTCTTGAAGATTGGGCACTGATAAAGAAAAGCCTGAGCAGTCGAAAAACTGAAATAATTTAATATTACTTTTAGACGTAACAACAGTTGTAGCAAAATAATATTAATGATAATGAAATGCTCTTGTTTAAATATTTAAACAATTTATAAACAAAATCATATTCATTTTGCAATATTAATGCTTCTCCTAAAATGGCGTCTGTATAAGTTGTCTTTGTATACAGCACTTTAATCTCTCCAAGACCATTTTGAATTATAATAAGACACGCTCGACCTGTGAAAAATATCCACGTTTCAACCTTTCAGAAAACTACTTTTGAACTGATAAATACCAATTATTTATGAATATAGTTATCACAATTTTCAATTTAAGAATATAATTGTAATACCTAAAAGCAAATTCACATCAGCGGTTTTCGTAACACAACAGGTCAGAGGACGCTCTTTTTCTATAATGCAAGCCAGTTCTTTGCGTTACTTACATTCGTTACATTCAGTACATCTGATTTTTAGGTGTTAAAAGACAGCAAGTGTGTAAGTGGTATAATTATTACAATAATTTAATATTAAGTGTCAAAACGACTTTAACTCTCGAACTGCCGGCTAAAAACAACAGCATGGCAGGCCGAGACCGGGTCACTGACCCATACTAGACTTTTCGTTATACATACTTTAGACCTAGCTTTTTGATACAAAATATTATCTAATAATGTTTAAAACAAAGAGAAAGATAATTTGTTAAAAAATGTAAATATTTTATAAATATACCATTTATTTTATATATACTGCATACATAAAATGACTTATCATTGACTGATGATCTACGTCTAGTAATACTTCATCGTTATAATTTTATTCACGCTGTAAAAATTCACTAAATACAGACAGCTCATCAGATCTCATTAGTATACTGAATACTGCCTGCTAGAGACATCGAAATTCTCCACGTAGTCAGTGCGTATGTTGCAACGATAAGACTGAGCCATGTGGACGAATGCACGTGCCTTCTCTGCGCTAAACTCAAGACGAAAATATGGATCAAAGTGACCCGGTGTCGGCTGAGCGAGGGTTAATTAATAATCCTTATCTGTGAAATTGTATGCATTAAATTTATTCGTAAAGAATTTTCTAAAATAAATTTCTCAGAAATATCAGATAACATTTCAGTTTTAGAAATTGTAAATGTTTTGTTAAAACATTATTTTGGAACTGTTTTTCAAAATATAATTCATTTAATTCATGATAATGTCATATCCATTGTACATGTACAAATTGTATCATAATAGTTAAATATATTTCATATTTTTGAATAAACTGTCAAGGAAGATATTATTTATGAAAAACACCTTGAAATATAAACTATATAAGTACATATTAAGATATTTCAAATTCCTGACCCTTTCGAAGATATATTAGACAACAATTTAATTTGATTAAAAAGAGTCAGTACTCGCTGTTATACTATATTTGTCAATTACACTTTATGTTCTGTAAATAGCATTTATACAATAAGTACACAATGTCTCAATGTGTACTATTTTAGACTCTATTTTATTTTTAGAAAAAGGTAATGGACAGGTCTTATACAGCAATCTAATACTATTAATTTTTAGTGTCAGTTCCCATTATGAAAAATAAATTTGATGAAATATATTTAATAATAAGTTTACTTAAATCACATTAACTAGTAATTCACATTTTCCGCCTGATAAAACCAAGGAAAATATGGAACATAGATAGTAAAGTCTACAGAAATTTATCATTAGCCGGTCATGAAAACGTCATATTACATAACAGTCATTATTTAATCGTATAAATAATATAAAATAGGTTTTGAAATCATAAAGATGTGAACATTTTAAATCGAAAATGTATAACAGAGAACTTTAGCTTTGGCGCTTTCAGGATCGCACTCGCACGTGAGAAGTTTAGAATCGATAAAGTGTTCGCGTTGGGGGTCAACTGTAGGACGAAACATCATTCTGCTTCGAAGGGTCTGAGTGGCTTGTCACGCGTTACGTTAGGTGAGCAATTTCCTTCAAGTTCCCTTTAATATTTAAAACATTGTTTTCTTATGAATTACTTGTTCGCGCAAAAGATATCAAGTTTTCGTTTAGAAGTTTTCAGAAGTGACTTTTTAGTATTGTAAAACATGGTCATAGTACGTGTCGCGTGTATTAAGTGTCTAAATTTTACCACAAGGTCATTATACGTGATATTTTGAACAAATAACAGTTTAGTTATGAGAATTCAACATACTTAGATAAAGAAAAAATTAATTTTATTTCATATTTTTATATATTTCCTCCAGTGACCTTGACAAGGTTAAACAAAGCTTATCCAAAAATCAAGTTTCAACACCGGTATTTTAATTCATTATCAAATATTTAAAATGTTTGTTATTTACTTGTTTTATACTGACATTTAATATTAACCATGGTTTAAATTTAATATCAGAATGCTAAATGAATTATTATACACATAAAGAGTTTTATGTTCTTGTACAGATTAAAAACTGTTTCTGTTTTAGATTTTTAATTTCTAAATACAGTACCAGTAATCACTGTTTCAAAATGCCTGTCCAAAGTATCAAGGCACGACAAATCTATGATTCTCGTGGTAACCCCACTGTGGAGGTAAGACTATGTAAAATATAATATTTCAATATAATTATATTGTAGATAGAATTTTTATGCTATTAACATGTTGAGTGTCAAGCCATTTTCCAATAACTGTCTTACAATGCAGTGTGTACCAAAAATGGTACATTGTGCAGACTGTGGTAAATATGTAAAGATTATATATTTTTTAGTTTCTTGGGAGCTGGAACTTTCTTTTTATTAGCTAAAAGGCAGATGCCTTAAAGGACTCACATATAGGAATTGGACAGTTAAGAGATAAAGTTATTTATTGTTTATTTCAAGTATTATCAATTCATGTGTTAATGAAACTTTTTACCAACAATTGTTACCCAGATCAGGGGGAAAATGCATAGTTGCCAGTGAGAAATTAGGGGGTTAATATTTTTTAGAGGAGTGAGCTTATTTATATGTATAGATTATGCATATCTACAGTTAGTGTAGAATACATGGGTGAAATATTATTTCTTAATGTCAAAGGTGAAAGATGTAGTACTTGTCACAAATATGCAAGCAGTAACCTATTAAGGGCTCACTTCGCTCATCCAATTACAGTAAATGTCAAAATCAGAAAATGCACAATATAATAAAAAAATAACTTCACTCATACTGAAAATATCAGGAATAATGAAAAACTTAAAATAGCATAAAACAAAATTCAAAAAAAAAAAGTATAGAATGTATACATATATGAAAGTTTTCCGTTTATAATTGAATGTTACAATGTACTTTATTGAATTAAGAAAGACATAAATACAGTTTGTCAGGGCAATTGTTATAAAATGTAGCTACTTATGTGGTTTTAACTCTTGCAATTGCAGCACTGGAATTCTTTATTCATGAATTTTTGCACAGCAGAAAATGTGTTCTTGGAAAGCCCCTACACAGTTAAAGTAACTGCAAGCGACTAAAGGGAAATAATTTGCACATCTAAAGAAAACTCAATTGTGCAATGGACAATTCATCAGTACGCCGTGTGTACCATTTTTAGCACACAACTTAAAAACTACAACAAACATCGTTTTACAGGATGTAATAATAATACCAACAATTACTTCCTTGCAATTTATCTATCAATGATGAAAACATCATTGAGCGTGGAAGTGAGGTTCACCATGTATCAAATTTGGTACACGCTGCACTCAATGTGTTAAAAAGGTTTTCTCTAATACAAGACTTGTTTACATATATTGATTAGTACAAGTAAATTTTTTATAAATTTGTTGTATAATGTAATTAAATTTAATATTGACTGAAAATAAAATGTTTTTCAATGAATCTCATAGGTTGATCTTGTAACAGACATGGGTCTGTTCAGGGCTGCAGTACCTTCGGGTGCATCAACTGGTGTTCATGAAGCCTTGGAACTACGAGACAATGATAAGTCAAAATATCATGGGAAATCTGTCTTTAAAGCTGTAGATAACATTAATACTATTATTACGCCTGAATTATTGAAGGTATTTATTAAAAACTTATAAGGTTAATATTTAAATATTAGGGTCATAACTTTAATAATAAATAGTAAATATTTTAATATCAAAGAGATGATAAAGAATAATACATTTTATACAAGAATTTTACAATTATATTAGCATGGAAATCTGTTGGTATTAACGTTAATGTATGTATTATTCAGGCAAATTTGGAAGTTACACAGCAAACAGACATTGATAACTTCCTTTTAAAACTTGATGGTACACCAAATAAATCAAAACTTGGTGCAAATGCACTTCTGGGTGTGTCATTGGCAGTTTGTAAAGCAGGAGCTGCTAAGAAGGGAGTGCCATTATACAAGTTAGTAAATATAATTCATGAGTTACATTTTTTGAAATTCAGAATTTCTGCATATTAAATTGGTATAACTTGGATAAAAAGGCATGAAAATTATATTACATGTATAACTCACATTGTTTGTAATTATTATTACTTTCTTGAATTATTTTAGATATATTGCAGAATTAGCTGGAAATGCCAACATTATTCTACCCGTTCCAGCTTTTAATGTTATCAATGGTGGTTCCCATGCAGGAAATAAATTGGCAATGCAGGAGTTCATGATTTTACCTACAGGAGCTGCTAACTTTACAGAAGCAATGAAAATGGGTAGTGAAGTTTATCATCATCTTAAAGCTGGTATTAAGAAGAAGTTTGGTCTTGATGCCACTGCAGTTGGTGATGAAGGCGGTTTTGCACCCAATATTTTGGAGAACAAGGAAGCTCTAAATTTAATCATTGATGCTATTAAAGTAAGTATATCTACGCACCTTCAGATGAAAAATATTTAATAATAAGTTCACTTAAAGTAGTACAATTTACTTTTAATAAAGTTATTTCTATTGCTAATATTCAACTATCGTTAATTATAACTGGTCGCAGTAGGGGTATTAATTAAATAAGTAATACAATGTACATATATGATTTTATTTAGATGTTATCAATTATAAAATTTGTTTCAATCTTAAAGTTCAATCTTGAATAAAATATTTTCTTGTTTTATTTGTCTTATAAAATTTAGGTCGCTGGATATGAAGGAAAAATTAAGATTGGTATGGATGTTGCTGCATCTGAATTCCATAAAAATGGAAAGTATGATTTGGACTTCAAGAATGAAAAGTCTGATCCCAATACATACCTGGAACCACAAGCCTTGAAGAATTTATATTTAGAATTTGTTAAAGAATTTCCGATTGTTTCGATTGAAGATCCATTTGATCAGGATGACTGGGAATCATGGACGTCTATGACTTCGTCTACTCCTATTCAAATTGTGGGTGATGATCTCACTGTCACAAATCCTGAAAGGTGAACTTTCAATTGTTTATTACGTCCTTTTAACTCTCAAAATGCTTCTAATTGTATGTAAATCATATTCAAACTATTATATGTGTATTACAGGATTGCAACTGCTATAGAGAAGAAAGCTTGCAACTGTCTTCTATTGAAGGTTAACCAAATAGGTACCGTTACAGAATCAATTAATGCTCACAAACTTGCCAAAAATGCTGGTTGGGGCACTATGGTATCTCATCGATCTGGAGAAACAGAAGATACATTTATCGCTGATTTAGTTGTTGGACTTTCAACTGGTCAGATTAAGACTGGCGCACCTTGTCGTTCAGAACGTTTAGCCAAGTACAATCAAATTCTACGTATTGAAGAAGAGTTGGGCGCAGCTGCCAAGTTTGCAGGCGAGAAATTCCGTAATCCTCAGGCTTAAAAATTCTGCCATTTTCTTCAGTGATGTAAGGCGTTCTAGTTATTATATTCATCGTAACGAAAATGAAAACCTGTACTTCTATCACCATTAAAATTGTGTTGGTTAAATAGAGTAAAATAACTTTAATCGTAGCGTGACGAATTATGGGAATTATACAGATAGACTTAGATACGAAGAGTAAAATGTAGTCACTGCTAAAAATATCAGAGATTACTTAATTAATTGATATCATTACGATTACAAAGTATAACAGGCAGGTTACCAGTGCATTTTAAAATACCAGTAATTCAGACATATAAATGTGTGAAATTATTTATTATGTACCTACTGCTTCCTTTTTCGTATGTATTTTGAAGGTTTGGATGTTGTTCAACTCATTGTTGAATTAGATGAGGTTTCCTAACTTAAACGTATCAAAGAATAAGTAGGCCTGGTGTCTGCCAATTTGGAAGCGCAAATAAAAAATTGTGAATAAACGTTACGATGATTGTTAATTGTTACATGTATGAATACTATACATAATAATAAAGACAGAAAAAGTGTTTAAATACAAATTATAGATATAGACCATATTAATTTTTATTTTCATAGAACTACAAAAACCTGTAAAAGCAACTGTATTAATAAGTATTATAAAATATAAATAAGTATGTACGTCTCGTTCAGAACTTGTTACAGGTAGTGATCGGAATGATACCGAATCAATATTATCGATTCCAGCCTGCATCAAACATAATCGATATTTGTTTGATAGTTCTATGAAACTATTGATACCCATTTGATACCTTGTAAGTTTATGGATGCTCGTTTGATACTTCGCCAAAATTTTGATACATATCTATTATAGGTGTGAGGGTACCTGATGTCACGGGTATTTCGAGTGTTGGGTCGGGCAGGTTCAGATGCACTTTGAAGGGCACCCGAGACAACGAATGTTCGGGCAACCCTATACATGCAGTAAAACCTTCAATAGTATAATATACCTGCAAAATATCTAGGCGTAAGCATCCGGTGTCAATCTTCGTCACTCTGAGGGTTCCGCTTGGAACCAGCCAAGCATACAATGTGACACGTCGGCGCGCCGCTGCAAATTTTTTTATTTTATTATTTTTCAATAAAACTTTTACTAACGTATTTGTGAGATCTTTCTGATTCAAATGATACCAAACACGGTATATATAATTTGAATCATACAGTAGAAATTCAATTCTCGCACTACCGTTATCTGTACGGAAGCTTGCCCCTTGCTCACACGTATTTCTCACCACGTGCGCGTACCCTATTCTGTTGCCCAGCACGCCATGGCCAGACACATACGATGTCGCGTTTAACTCGCATATCTCATCACAGAAAGCACAGTGTATATAATACTGTTTTAATAAAATGTTGCAATGTGTTTAGATACTTTCGGGTATAATCAACTACATTTCGTATTATACTTGATTCATAATGAATATAAATACCCAGTCAGCCAAACCTGCAAAGCCAAATTTTGTCCAATACCTTGTTGTAAGTTATGGCTACAAGTTTAATGCTACATTGCTATAAACAACTCGCGTGCACACTGACAGCAACATGAGCAGAAAATTGGCTTGCGTAAACCTTGTTCCGGTTTTGCTTTCAATTTGACATAGATCGTGTTGCAAGATTTTCTGCCAATTTGCATTACCATTTTCTGGCGTTGCCTGCAAAACTCAAGTTAAATGCGGAAACAGATGGCTATGATTTTTTTAGATAATTTTTGTCATTTATTGCTGGCAATTCGCTCGAAATTTGTACACAACTGGTTATCAGGGTTCTTATGTAAACAGATAAACCTGTAACAATACGCGACAAATATAAGGTATAACAAAGTTAGAGTGAAGAATAAGAGTGTTAAATATCTTTAAGGTGTTTAACCATAGAAACCGAAAAAATGGTAAAATAATATGTACAGAATGTTCGGTTTAACTACCCTGATAACCAGTTCCCAGATATCACCAGAGAGGAAATGAGAATGCTAACGCCCGGGGTTTCGGTGTTCCCGGGCAAGTGTTCCTGGTCCACATAAGCATGGACAAGAACCCCTGGTCTACATTAGCATATATCAGAACCACAAAATTTTGCAGCGGCAGCGAATATTTCGCGGTGATAGATTAGCAACAGTTAAAAATACATGGCGTTTTATGAGACTATTCATACCAATGCGAAAAATTTCCGCAAACAATTATATAATAAAAAATTATCGCTAGGAATATTTCGCGTTGGTCTGTGGGAGCCTGGTATCACATAACCTTACGTATTGATAAAAATTGATCTAATTTTTTACACTTCGTCCCACATAAGAACATAACTGTTTCGCGCTTAAACAGTCATCCTCTCTACACGCGAAACAGTTATACTTTTATATAGAACGAAATGTAACTAATGCACTAAAAGTACAGATTTAAATAAAAATATTGTTATATTTCATTCTAAGTACATGCAAAAAGTAATTCTTTTTAATTATTTTTAGATTCGAATTGAAATATTCATAGAAATAAGATGCGAATCATCTTTCGGTATAAATTCGTAGTAAAATTAACTGAAAAACAATTTATTTAGACAAAAAATTCTTTTTAATACTAATAGATACGTTCAAACTTAAAAAGAAAATTTTCATTTCTATCTGTATCCTTATTCGAAGATTTATTCGAAGGTTTGAAACAATTTCGCCGAGTATCTTTTATTCGAAGCTGGGTCTCCAAGCGTCCGACCGTGAAGCAAACAAAGAAGTGTTCCCTGTCTGCTAACTACATACAATGTAAGCATTTGGAAAGATCCGTGTCAAACAATACTGAAACGTTAACAACGCCTTGGAATATGAGCTTATTATGATATCCTTAACCAAAGCCTTGCATTTATAAATTAAAAAACAAACGGATTTCTCAACTCGAATAAGTTAATTGTTTATGTAATAAAATAGTTTATAGCCTAAAACCATTTCCGAAAATTGCACTGCACCATAAAACCAACTGCATCGAAATTGATTCCGTAGTTCTTGAATTATAAGTGAACAGACGCATAGACTGATTTTTCGACTTTCTTGTACATGTATACGTGTGTATATATATGTATATATATTATATATGTATATGAGGATAAGGTAGGATGGTAATTTATTTTCCCTGTGTGGCGGGGAACAGAATACGCCCACGGTAATCCCTGCCTGTCGTAAGAGGCGACTAAAAGGGACCGTTGGGATCGCGGGACTGTGGCAGTGATGCCAGGACGTGGGATTTTTCCCACGCATGCGCACTACCTAATCCTCAGTAACGTATATACTTCACTCAAATATGGGGTATCGTTAGACCCCCGTGACAATTGAAATACGGTAGAAATTACAGGAAGAGGACATTTTTAAAAGAAATAACATATTTACATGGAAATAAATGAATATATATTTTTTTATTATTTTGTACATCTGCAGCCGATTTATTACATGAATACAAACATTTGTTGCGAGAGTAAG